CTTGCCCGCATCTGGGTGGTTTGGAGTCCCAAGGTGAGGGTCACGATATTTTTTAAAAGTGGTCAGATGATCACAGCTTCAGTGAAGCTGGAGGAAAGAGAAGAAGAGTTCTTTTGCTCTTTCATTTTACGCTTCAAATTTTATGGAGGAAAGACGCGAGTTGTGGAGCGATATCAGGGATCACCACAACTCCCCAATAATTCGATCGAAACCATGGATTTGCCTGGGGGATTACAATGAGATTCTTGATATGGAGGAGCATTCAGATTACGATCAATCTCCATTTTTTACAATGGGTATGAGGGATTTTCAAGGAGTGGTTCGTGACTGTCATTTGGAGGATTTACCCTATCATGGCCCTGTTTTTACATGGTGTAACAAGAGGGATGAGGGCATGATTTCGAAAAAACTCGATAGAGTTGTAAAGAATTCAGGATGGTCTCAAGCTTTTCCACAGTCTTATAGCGTCTTTAAGGCAGGGGGATACTTTGATCATCTGCAATGTCGAGTTCATTTAGATGTGGAGCAACCTGGGGGCAAACGTCCATTCAAGTTTGTCAATGCGCTGGTGGATTTTGAGGAATTTAAACCTATGGTGGAGGGTTTCTGGGGTAATACCCAACCTATATTCTGTTCGACATCCTCAATGTTTCGCTTCACAAAAAAAAAGTAAAAGCTCTCAAACCTTTGATTCGATCCTTGGCAAGAACACGAATGGGGAACCTGACGAGAAAGACAAAGGAGGCGTTTAAAACTCTTTGTGAGAAACAGGAGGCAAATGCTTTTAGTCCTTCGACACAGCTTCTGGAGGAGGAAGATTGCTTATCAAAGATGAGATTTCATTTTGAGGTTGGAGGAAAAATTTTTAAAACAGCGATCTAAGATTCATTGGCTGAAGGTGGTTGATGGAAATAACAAAATCTTTCATAAAGGAGTGACTGCGCGTGAGTCGGTAAATTCTATTCGAGAGATTAAACGACGTGATGGACTTCTGGTATCGACAACTGAGGAGATTAAGGCTGAAGCGGAGGGTTTCTTTAGAGAGTTTTTGCAGCATGTTCCCGCTGACTTTGAGGGAACTTCGCAGGATGTTTTGGAGGATCTCCTGCGATTTAAATGCTCGGATGATGACAGGAATTTTTTGGTGAGTACGGTTACTGAAGAAGAAATCACTAAGGTTCTATTTGCTATGCCAAGTAACAAATCCCCGGGACCTGATGGTTTCAATGCTGAGTACTATAGGGCTGTATGGTCTGTTGTTGGTAAGGAATTTTTCATCGCAGTACAATCATTCTTTCAGAAGGGATTTTTACCTAAGGGTGTCAACACCACTATCTTAGCTTTAATCCCGAAGAAAACTTCTGCAGTAGAGATGAAAGACTATCGCCCCATTTCTTGCTGCAATGTCATCTACAAAGTCATCTCAAAAATCATAGCAAATAGACTCAAGTGTATTCTTCCTAAGCTCATTGCTATGAATCAGTCAGCTTTTATCCAGGATCGGCTTCTTATTGAGAATCTCCTCTTAGCCACTGAACTAGTAAAGGATTATCACAAGGATTCTATCTCTGCTTGCTGTGCCATCAAGATCGATATCTCGAAAGCTTTCGACTCGGTGCAATGGTCTTTCGTCCTCAATGCGCTTAGGGCTATGAACTTTCCTGAGATTTTTATTCATTGGATTTCTCTCTGTATCACTACAGCGTCTTTCTCGGTTCAGATTAATGGAGAACTTGCAGGGTTTTTTTCGTAGCAGTCGAGGGTTACGGCAAGGATGCTCGCTATCGCCCTATCTGTTTGTGATCAACATGAACGTGTTGTCGAAAATGCTGGATAAGGCTGCTTCTATTAGTCAGTCTGGTTACCATCCCAAGTGCAAAAATTTAGGTCTTACTCACCTAAGTTTTGCAGATGATATCATGGTGCTAACTGATGGGAAAGTGCGATCAGTTGAGGGTATTATTAAGGTTTTTGAGGAGTTTGCGAGAATTTCAGGTCTTAAAATCAGCATGGAAAAGTCGACTATGTATCTTGCCGGTGTTACTGAATCGGTTCGTACTGAGCTACATAATAGATTTCACTTCGAGATGGGACAGTTACCGGTCCGTTATCTCGGCTTACCGTTGCTCACCAAGCAGATGACGCGGAATGATTATCAGCCATTATTGGAAAAGATTCGAAAACGTATTGGCTCATGGACCACTCGCGCATTATCGATTAGAGGTCGTTTACAGCTAATCCGCTCTGTTTTGTTCAGTATTTCGACTGCCACACGAATGTCTACGGGAAATTGATTAGCTGTGTTCAGCTTTTCTTTGGTCTGGTCCTGAACTTAATCTGAAGAAAACTAAAATGGCATGGGAAGATGTTTGTCGACCTGTAACAGAAAGAGGTTTGGGTCTTCGACCTCTCAAAGAAGTTAATACGGTTTGCTGTTTAAAGCTGATCTGGCGCATTGTCTCATCTCATTCTTCGCTCTGGGTAAAGTGGATTTAGACATACCTTATTCAAAAAGGTACCTTCTGGTCTGTTGATGTCGATACTAAGGCTGGGTCTTGGATGTGGAGAAAGGTTCTCAAGTATCGACCGCTCGCGAGTTCATTCCATCGAATGGATATTCAAGGAGGTGACACAACAAATTTTTGGTTTGACACTTGGTCTGATTTGGGTAGAATCATTGACATTACTGGGCCTCGTGGTATCATTGATATGGGTATTCCTGCTACTGCGACGATTGCTTCGTTGACTCGCCGAAGACGAAGACGACATCGGAATGAGGTTCTTAATGAGATTGAGAATGTTCTTCACAACCAGTTAATAACACTCAAGCCAGGTGCGAGTGATATTGCGATGTGGAAGAGCAAAACTGGTTCGTTCAAATCAGGCTTTAGCTCGAAGGACACTTGGTTGCTTATTCGACAGGAAGCAGGTAGAATCTCCTGGTCTTCAGGCGTCTGGTTCAAGCACTCTACGCCAAAGTTTTCAGTATTTTCATGGCTAGCAACCCATGATCGGCTCTCAACAGGTGATCGAATGCAACAGTGGAACGTTGGGGCGAACGCGTCATGTGTGCTCTGCAACTCTCCACTCGAATCGCGAAATCACCTGTTTTTTGCTTGCTCTTATTCTGCCGAAGTTTGGTCTGCTTTAACAAAGGAACTGCTCAAGAGTAGCTTCTCAGTTGTTTGGCAAGACCTGGTTCACCTCATCTCTGCAAATCAGCCTGATCGTAATGCTCTGTTTCTGCTGCGCTAAGCTGCAATTCATTGTATTTGGAGAGAGCGTAATAATCGATGTCATGGAGAAGCTCCCCGAACAGCTTGCTCTATGATACATCTCATTGACAAACTCATTCGCTGCCGGATCCAATCTATTAGGGACTTGGGTGATCGGAGGTTTGAGGATGCTCTGCAACTTTGGTTTGCGACAAGATAACATAGCCATTGTTTTTTAAATTGTTCTCTTTCAGCTCTCTTTCAATTAAAAAACGATGCACTCTGATGTAAAAAAGCAGTTTTTTAAGGTGAATAAATTTTACATTCTTTCAAAAAAAAAAAAAATAGAGTTGATTTATGGGGTCGAACCCACGATCTAGGGATAATAATCAGAGTCAGAGACCATTGTGCCAAATTCGATTTTCTTATATAATATACAAAGTTAATATATATAATACTATTACATAACTGTATTGCCACCGTCGTTTCACTTAACGGAGCCGTACAACGGTGTTTTAACTCTGTTTAATCATTCCGTTAAGCAATTTAACGACATGACTAATTTGGCTCAGTCAACAAACATATGTGATTTAAATAAAAGGTCAACATAAATTGATGATTTAATCTGTTCAAGCGAAAGTTCATGCTTTAAATGGTCCAAATTCGAAAATTCAGGGTTTTTTAACCATTTTCTCGATTTATAAATGTTTTGTTGCCTGAAAAAGCTGGCTCTTACCTGAAGGGTTTTTTCATTACCTGAAAAATCAGGGTGTTCAATCCGGATTGACTCGCTTATTGCAAATCGATCCAAAAACCAAACCATATCCGAATCTAATCCAATCATAATAGAAGTTTTATTTTGGGTATTGTTATTTATGATCAGAAATAAGGAAAACACTATTGAAAAGTAAAGGAATTGTACAATCTTTTTCCCTATTATATTTGAATCAATCAACCTGAACAAATCAAATACCGAAATCCGGATTAATCCATGTGTTGCACTCTTCCATGAGAGAGCAACACATTATTAAAACGTCAAACTAAAGTCTTCTTTCCTATGTATTTGGATCCACCAACTGCAATACTTTTCTTTCATTGTTTTGTTGAACACCTGCCCAAGCATAAGAAGCATAGATAATTTTGCTAAATGGAAGCAAGGGGTGTGTATGTGCATTGTCAAAATCGAACCATAATATTCTCAGTATTAAGTTGCATGTTCTTAATCTTGACGTTCAAAACTTTAAATGAGAGAATTTACTGCCTCTCGCAAACCCTAAGTCTGGCAAATTAGCTTTCTTTTATTCTCTTGTAAACAAAATGTTTGTCGATAAAATCGACCAAATTAACAGATACTGTACATAGTAGATACAACCACAAATGACGTTTATCAGGATCAAATAAGTTTTGGAAAGATATTTAGAAGGGGGAAGCTTTTATTATGATCAACACTTAAAAGATTCCAAAGACCCTATAGGATGAAGTTGGATTTTTAGATATTTTTTTAACACAGTTAATTTATTGCATTAAGACATTTTTCAGTGGATTTGTACTCATGTTTTCAATACAAAAGAAGTTATTGGTTGGATTCACGTATTTATCTTCAAATGTTTCTTATATGGAACAAATTTTGTAATACTGTATCAAGTGAGTGTTTTTTTTTATCAAAATTTTCCTTCATTTAATTAAAAACGGGTCGGCCCATGAAGGGCCCGGGTCTCTGAAAAAGCCTGCATACAGTTTTTTGCCAAATTATCAGCCAAGGTATTGGCTTCACGGGGAATGGACACAAAATCGATTACATCAAAATAGTCTTTCATCTTCTCGATATCTTGCAGCAATCCATAGATCTCAGCTATGTTGTCCTTCAATTTGATGCTCTTGATAAGTGTTTCGGAATCTAGAGCTACCCACACACGGTGTAGTCCCAGATCTGAGGCGATTTGCAGCGATCTTCGAAGAGCCATGCTTTCTGCTACCAGAGCAGATCCCACCAGTGCATGTGCTTCCGATCCCTGGAGCAGGGTGTTTCCGTGTTCATCTTTGAATATCCAACCCAACCCTGCTGTTAGAGATGCACTGTTCCATGATCCATCAACATAACATCGGATCGAGCTCGTCGGGATTGGAAGGTTCCATGATCTCCTCGTTGAAACAGGTAATGATTTCTTCTCCGGTTGAGCTAATTGCCATTCTCTGGCTCCTTTGATTGTGTTGGAAATTGTTTCTAAGGGAGTGAACGATCTCTCATTGAAAATTCTTCTGTTTCGAGATGTCCAGATGTTCCATAAGATCCAGGGGAAGAGAGGTCCTCGTCCAACACCCGTAGGAGGAAGGCATATCAAACAGCGCGTGGATCTGATACCGGATATAACATCCAAAAACTGGGTCGTGTTGATTGGGATCGAGCAGGGTATCTGGTTCCATATTTCCAAGGCGAAGGGGCAATGGAAGAATAAGTGTACCTCAGATTCCGGAGCTCCACAGTGAATGCAAGATGAGACCTGGATGACTTTCCTCTTGACGAGATTGTCCCCTAAAGGTAATGCTCCTTTCACAAGCTTCCAAAGGAAGAGTTTTAATTTCTCTGAACAGGATTCATGCCAGATTTTCTTATTCCAATCGAACACTTCAAGAAAATCTGAAGATAGTGTGTTCATGATCGGTTTTGGCATTGACGCGTGATAACCTGATCTTATCGTGTAGATTCCCGAAGTTTGCGACGTCCAGATGATTCTATCTTCCACATCCGTATGACTTAATTTGATGCACTTTATCTCAGTTTCAAACTCGGGTAAGATCTCTCGGATCATATCTACTTTCCATTCTTTTGTGTCTTCATTGATTAAGTCTGAAACTTTCAGTTTGTAGACGTGTTCCGGGGCTGGGCCGATGGGTTTGTAGATTTGGGATGTGGATATCCAACTCTCTTTCCAGATGCTTGTTGTTTTCCCGTTGCCAATAGCTTTCCCCAACTTATATTTTAGTAAGTCTCTTCCCACTATTATTCCTTTCCACCCATATGATGATGCATCCGAAAGCTTTGCCTCAAGGAAGTTAGTGTTCATGAAATATTTCCCTTTTAGGAAGTTAGTACCAAGTGAGTGTTCCTCTTAGAGTAGGTCAGTGGAAAAGTCTATTTGCGGATTGGGATCTTTCAACTGGTCCATACTGCCAATATTCATAGATTTATCCTACCAAACACTATTCTACAATGAATTTCTTCATTATACTTGTGGGGTTTTTTTTACCAAAAAAAAATATATTTCACGTGAATCTCATTATTATGTATTATAAAATGTTTTGTTGACTGTGTCAAGAAATTGAACCAAGAATGATGTTACATGCCTGATCGTGTTAGCTTGTTTGGTTCGTGGGGCTATGTTCCACCTCATGAGTTCGATTAAGGAGGAGGGAGAAAGAAACATGTTACATATGATATACAATTAGTAGGTCAGGATATTGGTGTTTTTTCCTTTTTTCTATGTAATTCGTTAATATCCTCACTCGAAAGCATTTTCATGAGTTTGAGTTACAGAATTGGCAAGTAGACACTTTGCAAAAATGTCGTATTTTGACATAAGCCTATAACCATTGGATCCTTAATTTTTGTATTATAGAATCTCTCCTCAATAGACTTACGAAAGGTGCCATCAACTACAATATTCAGCAACAGCTGCAAAAGTTTCAGGATGTGGCCGGTGGAGGGCTTCTTCTCGATGCAAAATAAGCATCTCGAATGCAGCCATGGTACAGTTTGCAATATCCCCATACTGAGATCGAATGCTTCATATCTACTTTGCTGCATCGGTTTGGGAATGATGCCATAGCTATTAGAGTAAATAGAGATTTAGAGAATTGGAAAATATATTATTTCTCTCATACAAATAACTAATATAAAAACTTTTCCAAATTAATAATGTCTGAGACTACGATATTTTATTAATTTATCGTTATATTAATGTATCTATATATTAATAATTATTGGTTTATAAAAATAACATATGTGTACTTCTTAATAGTTTAAGTTTTTATTTTATCTAAAATTTATATACTTTATTGTTTACATCTTCCATATTAAACATGAATCAAAATCAAACATCATTTATGAACTTGAAGTTTTAATTAATAATCTTGATTATTGGAATACGATATATCAAGAAGATACTCGACTATCCAGGTGAAATGATGCATATTAAAAAGTTTAGAGTTTAGAAGAATATGTGGCAACTGGCTTTATTGCTGATTATGAAGTTGAAGCGCTATGAAGCCTTTGAAAGCAGTTTCACGTAAGGAAGTTATTATGGCTTCATTTTTTTTTATGTAAATTTAGAAGAACAGCAAGAGTTATTGATGCAATAATAAAAATTAGAGATGAACTCCAACGAAATTCTAACCTAAAAAAAAAACAATAAGGCATTGGAATAATTTATAAGGAAATTACATAAACAAATCGATATTCATAATACAATGATGGACCAAAGAGTTAAGAAGAAGATTTGCAGAATCCAGACGAATCTCTTTCCTTAATTCTTTGAACGATCTGTGAACAATTCTTGGGTTCACCCCTAGGGGTGAACCTCTTCATTCACCCCCTTGTTTTTTAACCAATCAAAACATGCCATTTAAGATTTAAAATAAATGAATATTATCTTCATAAAACAATTAAGGTAAGTTGACTTTTTTATCACAGACAATTAAAAATTTAATATTATTCAAATGAAATAATTTGATTTAGTTATTAAAATTATTCGTTTATTTACTTTTTCTTATTTTAACCAATAAAAATCAGCTAAATAATAAAATTAATTAAAGTAATTTGTCAAAATAACATATTTTAAATTTTCTTTTCTAATATGAAAAAAACTAAACCCTAAATTAAAATAGTGAACCCAAGCATAACATTAAATTTTTAAAAAAATTGAAAAATAAAAACTAAATCCTAAACCCTAATCTCTAAATCCAAACATTAATTTTAATAATAAAAAACAAACATTAAATCCTAAACCCTAAATCCAAATATATATTATTAAAATTAATATTTGGGTTTAGGGATTAGGGTTTAGGAATTAGTTTTTATTTTTTAATTTTTTAAATATTTGGTTTAGGGTTTAGGGTTTAGTTTTTATTTCTATTTTTTTTTTAAAAATAAATATTTGGGTTTAGGAGTTAGGGTTTAGTTTTTTTTTTAATTTATATATTACAGTTTAGGGTATAAGGATTATGGTTTAAAATTTAAAAATTAAATTTTGATTTTTTATTATTAATTCGTTTTTCTATTTTGTTTTTATTTTTATTTTTTTTAATTCACTTTAAATCTTATATGGCATATTTTGAATAATATTAAATTTTTAATTGTCTGTGAAAAAAAAGTCAACTTACCTTAATTGTTTTATGAAAATAATATTCATTTATTTTAAATCTTAAATGGCATATTTTAATTGGTTATAATAGAAGGGGGTGAATAATGAGGTTCACCCCTAGGGGTGAACCCAAGAATTGTTCACGATCTGTAGTGTGACTGTTGCATGACATTCTGAATCCCAGGATAAAACTGCTTCTAGACTATTTTACATCACTGAATAACAAAATCTGAAAAAAAAACTATTTCTGTGTTGTACTCTCATATAAAAATTTAGAAAAAAAAGTATGTAAAAAAGTGAAGAGATTGTTTTTTCCTTTATATAAAAGAATGAAAAAAAAAATTATGTAAGTATAAAATAAGGAGATTAATGGTCATTAATCAGAATCATCCATTATAGAGAGGAGTGGTTACAGAAGTTCTCAATAAATTTGCATTAATTCTGTATTCATGAGGAGAGTTTTCAGCTTGACTTTATTTGATTTTATATTGATCAGTTACAAATTAAAACTGGCTGCAAAAAGAATTATCTTCGGCCGTAAGCCCATTTACCAAGACCCGAGAATCTCAGTCTGGTATCTTCTCCCTCAATACTCGGTAATGTATCTAAGCCTTAAACTTTTTTATAAGTTCTCTATTATATACTTAGATGATGAGTACCCGCGCATATGTGCGGATTTTGATCTCATAAATTATATCCCTTCTTATTTATTTATTGGTTTGATGTTAGCTCTTTGATGTTATTGTGTATCCATAAGATTACTAAAAATAATTAATTGTTTTTTAACTCGTTTTTTTCATATTCTTTGGTCTTTTTATTGTTTTCTAATGTTTTTTTCAGTATGTTGTGTTGATGCATTTGTGATTTCTTTGATCTTAACATTTACGTTTAATAAACTTTGGTACATAAATTAAGGGGTTGGCATTATGTTTATTTTAGTTTGGTATGCCATCTGAATGTTGTGTAGCCATTTTTTATAATTTTCTTGCATAAGAAACTTATGAGTAATAGCAACCTTTAAAATTGTAATTTGGAAAGGGAGATAACAACCCAAACTAATATGTAGAGACACAGTTCTGTAATTAAAGAACAGAGAAAAGAAACATAAGTTCATTGTTAAGACACTTTTAGTCAGACAAGTTCTCCATGCACTAAGCCACTATCTACCAAAAGAAACAAGTTTAACAAACTCTGTTTGAGCCTTTTTGTTAAGAGTGACAACATTTAAGAGAAAAATTCAGTAATCTTGACAGCAAAGAGAAGTATAACCCATTCAAGAGAAAATATGTGAAAAATTTGTGAAAGATATCAATAATATCATCCATTCTCTCCTCTACCTGTCTTTTGCGTCTACGGTGGAAAACTCATTCATTAAAGTAAGACTTCAATATAACCTATAGAAATTGAAAAAAAATATGAATATGTTAATCATATGAACCCACAATGATGACCAAATTTCTTTTCTATCTTCTCATAAAACCACACAGATCAATTTAAAAGATCATACACTTGAATTTGGGTGATGAGCTCACCTTCTCGTTAGCCAATGAGACGTGAAAAGCATTCCCCTTTTATTGGATTCTTCAACAATAATAATAATGGTAGTCTAGAGCAGATAGACAACTTTTGAGTTTTTTCTACATGTCTCCTCATCATCTCCAGTTTCACTTGCTGTTACACAATCCTTCGTCTTGCCACTTTCCACAATTTCTTTGGAGAATTTCTAGTTTCTACTCCTAATTTAAAAGTTTCCTTTTTCCCTTTTTTCCATTACTTCAAGCGTTACCCTTTTTAAAAAAAAATAAAAACATGCATTTAGCTATTGATCAACATATGGTTATTGCAAAGGAAAACAATCAAGTCTCTGCAATTGTAAGCCAGAAACAGTATAGCTTCATATGTTATGCCAACGGAAACGACAAAAATCTTAAAATAATATGCATTTTGTGTGTATATTACTTCTAATAATACAAAGGAGTGGAAAACTCACTTTGGAACCAATTCATGTTGAAGCCTTTATCCTTTCTGTTGTGCATTTCTAGCAAAATGCTTTAAGACCTCCATGCTCAAAGAAGTGCCATCGAGGGTGAAATCTCTTCAGTATAAGCCCATACACTCCAGCATGCCTAAGCGAAGTGAAAGAAATATAGATCAAACTGACAAAGAAGTTTTCACATATCTCCGATCAACCAAAGTTAATGAAGTGACCGGATTCAGATTAAGACACATCCGAACTGACATTTTCGTAGCACAAATCAAGAATTCTTTCTGAAACAATTCAAGTACCAACTTAATTTAAAACAAAAATAGAGTGAGAGATATACCCGATTTCTTCAAATTAGTTTGTGAGTGAGAACGAAGACCCTCACAATTAGTCGGCAATTAAAGTTCTAGAGTTTTTAAAAAAATCTTATGTTATTAAAAAAAACAAAAAATCTCATGAAACAGCCCACAATCGCTCAAAGCAAGAAATGTTGTAACTTTTAAGAAGTACCTAAAACCCGATAACATAAAGACGTCAAATAATGCATGTAATTGGTCATATGAGGAGAGCGGAAAGAAGATAAAATAAAATTTCTGAGTGCAACTCTACAGGTTATTCTCATTTTTACATTTTATAGTAGATGGAAAGTGTTATGAGTAACCTCGAAGAGATGAGAGTAATTTACTAAAAAC